AAAAAATTTAAAAAAAAAAAAAAAAAAAAAAAAAAAAAAAAAAAACTAGACAATTATTTTACATGTATACTAAACAATTACATTTTGCGATTCTCATATTTAAATTAATTTACAATATTTACAAACATGTATATCCTTAATAATTATTTAAAAATTTATTTTTATCAATTTTTCACGTGGTTCCACTTAAACGTTGGATTATTAAATAAAATCAGCATTATAAGAATATATATATAAGGTTTCGCGTAAAAAACTAACACACTGTTTTGTCAGAAAAAACTACGGTACAATATTGCAATAAAAAAATTGGGAAAAAAACAAACAGACATTATTTTTTTTTTTTTTTTCTTAAAGTATACTCCCGAGTAAGAATAATAAAAAATATTAATATAATAATAAACGTACAATTGATTAAATTACATTAACAATTTTTTTTTTTTTTTGTGGCAATGGTTTTTTAATTTATGATTCCCGTACGGACAATTATTTTTTTTTTTTAATAGTTTTAAGTAATGAACACAATCAATTGCTTATTTAGACAGTTGCGACAACAGTACATATCAATAAATACTATCTTTAATAAAAATAATATTAATACACGGAAAGAACAAGATGACAATATAATCATTATAATCTAGATTATACTCATTATAATCTACATTGTACTCATTAGGGTGGCCAAAAAACCGCCTTTTTTTTTTTGAGTCTCAAGTGAAAAAATGTTAGTTTTTGATGTTTTAAGAGCTCTCTCCAAAGAACAATTTAAAAAAAAAATTTTAAGAGGTCGCTCCAAATTTTTTTAAATTTCAACAATCTAATTTTTGTTTTTTTTTTAAATTTTTTTTCTCGTTACGTCATAATTTTATAAACCAAAAAAAAAGGTTTTCCTGAAAGTTTCATTTCAAAATGTGAATTTTAAAAGGTCACTCATAATTTTTTTTTAATTTAGTAGCTATTTAATTGGACTAGGATTTTTTGACTCTGAAATTAAAAAAAAAAAATTATGAGCGATCTCTTAAAAATGTTTTTTCGAGCTGTTCTTTGGAGAAGGCTCTTAAAACATCAAAAACTAACATTTTTTCACTTGAGACTCAAAAAAAAAAAGGCGGTTTTTTGGCCACCCTAATGAGTACAATGTAGATTATAATGAGTATAATCTAGATTATAATGATTATATTGTCATCTTGTTCTTTCCGTGTATTAATATTATTTTTATTAAAGATAGTATTTATTGATATGTACTGTTGTCGCAACTGTCTAAATAAGCAATTGATTGTGTTCATTACTTAAAACTATTAAAAAAAAAAAATAATTGTCCGTACGGGAATCATAAATTAAAAAACCATTGCCACAAAAAAAAAAAAATTGTTAATGTAATTTAATCAATTGTACGTTTATTATTATATTAATATTTTTTATTATTCTTACTCGGGAGTATACTTTAAGAAAAAAAAAAAAAAAATAATGTCTGTTTGTTTTTTTCCCAATTTTTTTATTGCAATATTGTACCGTAGTTTTTTCTGACAAAACAGTGTGTTAGTTTTTTACGCGAAACCTTATATATATATTCTTATAATGCTGATTTTATTTAATAATCCAACGTTTAAGTGGAACCACGTGAAAAATTGATAAAAATAAATTTTTAAATAATTATTAAGGATATACATGTTTGTAAATATTGTAAATTAATTTAAATATGAGAATCGCAAAATGTAATTGTTTAGTATACATGTAAAATAATTGTTTCTATGATTTTTTTTTTTTTTTTTTTTCTATTTTAAATTCTATTAAATTGAATGCATAAATTTTTTTATATAGATTTGTGAGATAATTATTAAATTAAAAAATAAGTAAATATAAATTCTTCCTTTTATCTAAAATAAAAAACCGAATATATTTAAATATGTAGGATATATTTTTTCTCTTAATTAAATGCTTGATCGATTAAAATGTCAAATATATGTATACTAAGCTGTTTCTTATTAATTACATTTATTAATGAACTACATTTACAATCTATAAGTACAGAAATCAATAACAGATGTAATGTATGATGATTATGATGATGATATGGGTTGTATGGATTAAAGCGACTGATATTCTGCATGAATGAAGCCTAAATAGATTATATGCTATTGTAATTTTATTTAATATGTATAAACTTACAAGACTGTATAGAACGAAAAAAAAAAAAAAAAAAAAAAAAAAAAAAAAAAAAAAAAAAACCGGCGGGCACGGGAACCGAACCTTGGACCTGACGCTCGGAAGACTAATTCATTACCTGTTTACCTACGAGACTTACTTGAAGAGTGGAGTTTGTAATATAACTAGAAGTAATGTTAGTCCAGTTGAAAAGAGGCAAAAGAAAGACCTTACTTCGCAAAAATCGCAAAGTAGAAATTTCTATCTGGACTATGTGAATCGTATCCATGATCGATGCGTAATGAACAAAGTTTTTTTTATCAAATTTGCAAATTATTAATTATCAAAACATACGTTGATAGAGGGATTTATTAACTATTTACAAATTAATTTATTCAAAGACAATTATTTAATTTATTAAATTCTAATAAATACTTTTTTTGCTCGACGGGCAGAAAGCGTCAAATTTCGGCCCACTTTCTGTCTTCGTCGAGCAAAAAAATAGCATACACTCCTCGGGAAGTAAATAAGAAAGCATTACATGTGATCTGAGACATTTCTTACTTTACTTTCCTCGGTGTGTAATATACTATTTAACATTCAATAAATATAATATTTATTTGGGAGGAAAGTATATTTATTAAAATAGATTATAAGTATTTATTAATAGTTAACAAATATAGTTATATCTGTCCTGATATGACTAGATCTGATTATGTCTCCAATCCCATATCTGATCAGATCTAAACCTTTTTCCCCGGGCAGGAATCAATCATTTCTTCCCGACGGATAGAAAATGACGATTTTCTGCCCGCGAGATGAAGTTCCAGTTTTATTTTCAGACCTGTTAGAGTATATTTTGTTTATTTTATACGTTTATAATTGTCATTCTAACCGTAAAATGTACTGACATATTATAATTCTGTTACTAAGCATAAATATGAATGACAAAAAAAAAACTATTCAATTTACGAATAATGTTTAATAAAAAATAAACCATTACTTTCTTGAATTGCAGTTTTTAATTTTCTTAATACGTTTTATAATAAAATGGTATTTTCGCTATTTGTCTAAAACTATCTAGTTCTGGTTGGCTCTAGACATTAAAACTAACATTTTCAATGCATCTTACGTGAAAAATATATTATAAGCTAATAAAAAATATTGTTTCCACCTACTCTTCCGAATTGTAAATTCGAAAGTCTCTCAGTTAAAAGTCCTCGAAAATTTTGTAAATATTTAAACACTATTATTTTAAACAATAGTAAAATTTAATTTCCGACTCATCGAGACTTTTCATTTGAGTACCCACATCAATTTTTTCATATATTTTTCATATATACATAAATATATGAAATATATATGGAAAATTGATGTGGGTACTCAAATAAAGCTCGTTTATGAGTGTAACGTCAGGATGAGCTTATATCTTTAAAAATATCAATAATTAAGAAATGACCTTGTATCTTGTGAAATATTGACATTTATAAAGATATAAACTCATCCCGATATTATACTCATCAAGACCTTTTATTTGAGTACCCACATCAATTTTTCATATATTTACATATATTATATATATGTATATATGAAAAATATATCAAAAATGCATGTGGGTACTCAAATGAAAGCTCTTTATGAGTGTAACGTCAGGATGAGCTTATATCTTTAAAAATATCAATATTTAAGAAAGTGCAGTGCAATTTAACAAAAGTCATTATTTAATAAAGCAAAGTTTCATTTATTTATACTTTACAAGTCACGACAGTCACATAGTGATTGCAAGTTTGCTAGTTTTTGTTAATTAATACTCAAAATAAAGAAATTTCTCAAGATATACTATTTAAAATAGTAGATAAAAATTTTTTCATTCATTTTTTAATTGATAAAAATTTTAAACATTTAGTTCTGTAAAATTACAACTATAGAAATTTTTTTTTCAATTTAAAAAAATTCAAATAATTATTAATGACTAAAATTACTGAAAAAAATATATTAACAATGAGAAATTAAAAAATTTTTTTTAATTTATCAAATAAATTATAAGAATAATTTAACTTTTCTAAGCTTTAAAAAATTATAAATGTAATTTTTTAGTTTATTTTTGAAAAAAAAAAAAAAAAATGATTGAATAATGAATAATAATAATTATGAAATAATGAACATACAGGTTTTATAATAAGAGTATAATTTATTTAATGCTTATTTTTTATAATAATCATGGCATTTTATTAGCTGTTTATTTCATTGAATGCCTCATCAATGATCGTGTAACAATACTTACAATGAAATTTTTATTCATGTTTTATTTTAAATTTAAATAATTACAACTCCTACCACGGCGTAAACTAAGGTTGCTTTGATGGTGTTAAAGAAGACCAACTTAATTGTCCTTCTTAGCGAGCTCCTCGGGGGTACGTTTGTTAAAACCCCAGATTGGATTAATATCAAGTAATCTGATACGTTTTAATTGAGCGGCTTGATTTTCTTTACTGAATGATTCCGGTAGCGGAGAGTAAACTGTAAAATAAATTTTATTCAACAAATCAATCCAGCAAATTAATGGAATAAATAATAAAATTTATTTTACGTACCGTTGAATTTAACATACATGAACATCCACAGAGCTATACTTATACCAATGCAGACACAACCAATGATTGCCTTCCAGTGACCGTCTGGAGCTTCAAGCTCTGCGAAAGTTTGACAGAAACTTGCACGGTACAGTTCTTTCTTCTCGGCTAATGACAATTTTTTCCAGTCACCTTTTTCTTTTTCTCTCAATACCTGTTAAAACAAGTAATTATTTTTAATTATTAGTAATTAATCTTTGGAAGCTCTAAAAAATTATAAATACAATTTTTTAAAAATAATTTTTTTATATCTAATTAAAAAAAAAAATTATCAAGTATCAGCTGATTTAATTAAAAAAAAAAAAAAATTTCTATTAAATTTTTGTGACAGAAAAAAAACACATAAAAAAAAAAGTTATTAAGTACCTATCAGCTGATTTAATTTTTCTAAAAAAAAAAAAAAATTCTATTAAATTTTTGTGACAGAAAAAAATGACAAAAAAAATTATCAAGTATCAGCTGGTTTAATTAAAAAAAAAAAAAAAAAACTTCTATTAAATTTTTGTGACAAAAAAAAAATTATCAAGTATCAGCTGATTTAATTTTACTAAAAAAAAAAAAATTCTATTAAATTTTTGTGACAGAAAAAAATGACTCCAATTAAAAAACCAGAAGCTAAAAAATCAAATTTATACTATTTATTATTTAGCAAGCGACGCCAAATATATTTATTTTTTACCTCAAGGTCAGGAGTCATCTCCTTGAATCTGATTGAAGGGAATGGGTAGTCCCAGAGATCCATGTAATGAGGCTCGCCATTCATACCGTACCCGACAATTTCACGTTTGCCGATTTTCTTAACGTACGGTGGCACAAAAGGAACCTCCTCATGATGTACGCTGGACATCATCCTCGACGGCACGACTCGGCTGTTGAGCCTCAAGCACGTCACCAAGAGCTTCCCAGCCATTGTCTGAAAAATCGATAGTTTATCAAATATAATTAATTTCATTCATTTATACACTCAATTTTTCCGATGTTGCAATTCATGTTAATTTATTAATTAAAACTCAACATAACATCTTGACCATTGCATTTATTATTAATAATTGTTATCGCGAAATTTTCTCATGCTGATTACCTAATCGATATCACAGCTACTCTAAGTGGTAATATTTGTCAATCAAAACTAGCTTCACTGATTAAAAAAATTCTCTTAATTGCCTGTCACTACAGTTGGGAGTTTTTTCTTTACTAATTAGTGTTATTTTATTAATAAAACAATAATTACCGTCTGTGATTTTTTTCCTTAAAACACAGTAGAATATGGCTACGATGAAATCTTCAAGCAGCCATTAAATAAAGGCCAGACTCGGAGACGGCAAACTTTGTAGAGGGAAGCACTTGATTATTTTACTATTATACTGAAGTTAGCTGATAGCTGTCAATTTTTTTAATTTTTATACAAATTATAATGAAAAAAAAGCTTATAAAAATTTCTATTAAAAAATTATTTATAAAAAATTGCTTTTTTAATTTTTTAAAATTTCTACGTCAATTTTTTTTCTAATTATTATTTACCATAATTTACTTACCTTTGACCAAATGTCTACTAAATTAATTTTCATTTAAAAAAAATTTTTAATGATTGTCAACTTCAGTGTCATTATTTTATTACTTTTTTTTTGGTAAGAAAATTAGCAATTAATTATTAATGTTGTTTTTAATTTCTTCTTATAATTACTAAAACAATTTTTAATTAAAATATTTATTTTTATTAAAATAATTTTTTGTAATCAAGAAGAAATATTTAAAAATTGTAATCTAACAAAATTAGCCAATAATTAAAAAATCTTCTTACTCAAAATAGTAATGTTTTATTATTATTATTGTTAATTAATTAAAATAATAACAAATAGTTTAAAATTACTTGTTAAATAATCAACTAGATGGCGCTAAAAACAAGTTACAATTCTTACAGTTTTAGTAGATCGATGCCGAAATTTCCTTTCCACGCTTCTGCTCGCGAACGCCGTACGTACACTGATAATTAAACAATTATTTAATAAATAATATGTGTATTTAATGAAAAATATCTTGTTTTGACAAAACGGTATTTATTGTTTTTTTAATTAAATCAATCTGTTGAAATTGATCGCTCGAAATTCTTGGGATTACACTGGATTTTATATCATTGTATTTCACTCACCTGTGCTTGGCTCCATTATTACTCTTCAGACCTTAAAAAAATAATTTAATTCTAATAAAAAAAAAAAAAGGAATAATTACCAGTTTTTATTGTTATTATAAAAATTGTTTTATTGAGTTGTAATTAGTTCTGATTAATTTGTGATCAGCGTGAGAGTAAATGTCAACAGTGATTTAACCTAACTTTTAGTTTTTCACTTGAAATAATTTTTTTTTTTAGTGATTGATAATTAATAAATTTGTATATTATTACAGAAAATGTTCACTGCAAGCGCTAAAATAATCAAGTCCGGCGGGGCTGAACCCGACCAGTTTGAATCTGGAATCTCTCAAGCTCTTCTTGAGCTGGAGATGAACAGCGACCTCAAGTCCCAATTGAGAGAGCTCCACATTACCAAAGCACGTGAAATTGATGTTAACAACAAGAAGGTACTTGCTGCAATTATTTATTATTTATAAATAATTTTATGATATTAAAATTAGCAGACACTTAATTAATTTTTAAGTTTTTTTAACAAACTAATTTTTTCCATAATTAATTTTTTAAATTATCATATACTTGCTAAATTAATTTAATATAATAAATTAGTTATTATTATTATTATTATAATAATTAATTTTATTTTTTACAGTCAATTATCGTGTACGTTCCAATGAACAAACTGAAACAATTCCAAAAGGTCCAGACACGCTTGGTACGTGAATTGGAGAAGAAATTCTCTGGTAAACATGTTATGTTTGTTGGTGACAGAAAAATTCTGCCTAAGCCAACACGTAAGACACGTACAAAGAACAAGCAGAAGAGGCCAAGAAGGTACTTTGTTATTTTTAATAATTATTATTCAACTATTAATATCAATATCAATATTGATAATAATGATAAAATATTTTTTTCAGCCGTACATTGACCTCTGTGTACGACGCTCTGCTCGAAGATTTGGTGTACCCTGTAGAAATCGTCGGCAAACGTATCCGAGTAAAGTTGGATGGTTCTCAGTTGATCAAGGTTCATCTTGACAAGAACGAGCAGACCAACATCGAGCACAAAGTAATTTCATTTTTTATTATTGAGCGTTTGTGTATATATTTATTGGCATTTGTTGGGTGAATTATTAATAATGTTTTTTATTTTTTTAGGTTGACACTTTTGCTGGAGTTTACAAGAAGTTGACAGGTCGTGATGTCACGTTTGAATTCCCTGAATCTTACGTGTAATTTTTAAACACAATAAAAAAATGATTAAGATATAATTATTAAATTTGTTTTATTTATTTTTAAAGATTATTTAATACTCTAAATATTTTAAAATAAATTTTTAGTTTCAAGTCTGGATTTTAAAATTATAGTTATTAAGATGGTGCAAATCAATTATTTTAAAAAAAGTATTCCACGTGGAATTTTTTTCAATATAATTTAATGTATATTAAGAGAATAAGAAAAATTTTGTCTCCAGGATTTTATTTGAACTTATGCCTTTTTAAGGTTTCATATCATTCTCTCAGATATTCGATTCACTATAAGTATTTAGGCTGCATTCAAAAATGCCCTGTCTCTAGATACATGATTAAAAAATTACCTTGTATCTTGTGAACTATTGACATTTTTAAAGATAATAAGCTCATCCTGATGTTACACTCATCGAGACCTTTCATTTGAGTACCCACATAAATTTTTCATATATTATATATTATATATATGTATATATAAAAAATATATCAAAAATGCATGTGGGTACTCAAACGAAAGCTTTTGATGAGTGTAACATCGGGATGAGCTTATATCTTTAAAAAAGTCAATAATTAAGAAATTACGTCGTATCTTTACTACAATTGATATTTTTAAACATATAAGCTCATCCCGATGTTACACTCATCGAGACCTTTCATTTGAGTACCCACATCAATTTTTTCATATATTTATATATATTATATATATGTATATATGAAAAATATATCAAAAATGCATGTGGGTACTCAAATGAAAGCTCTTGATGAGTGTAACATCGGGATGAGTTTAATTTTTAAAAACGTCGATATTTAAGAAAGTACAGTGCAATTTAACAAAAGTCATTATTTAATAAAGCAAAATTTTACTTTCGGTTCACAGGTAACGGCAGTCACATAGTGACTGCAAGGTTGCTAGTTAATATAAAAATCTAAATAATTTTTAGTATTAGTTTAAAAAAAAATTTAATAATTTAAAACTAACAACAATAATTAATGTAATTGAAGCTTTATTTTAAATCTTAGTTACAAAAAATTCAATTGAAAATTTAATCTTTTCTCAAGCTACAGTAATCATCTTCGATTCCATCTTTAGTAATTATTTTAATAGTGATTCCATCACCGGTTAAAATGTCTCGCTCAGCTGCTGATATAAAGACATCCTTGATGATGCTCAGAGCACGTTCTTTACTCAGTGGTTCCTTTTGAACGCCTTCCTGGTTTTTATGTCCAACCTAAAACCAAAATTTATGATCAAGAAGGAATTCATTTAATTTTACTGAAGATTAAAACATAATCAATTACTGTACCTGGTTATCAAGAAGAGGCTGTAACAAGGCACCAGAAGAGCCACCAGCTCGGTACATATTCCTCTCGCAGTGACCAATCGGGTCGTAGCTGAAGATGCAGCCCTCTCCATTTTCGTCCAAGCCTGCGAGGATGTTGCTGATGTAGTACGGGAAGAATCTCTTGTAGTACAACATCGTGGACATCATCTGGGCTGCAGCTGGGGTTGACATTTCTTTGAGATGTTCATGTTTGTACATCTAAAAACAAAAAAAATTTTATCATAATTACCTTTATGAAATTGAGAAACATTTGACAGGTATTAAAATTTTTTGAGCAAATAAATTGATATTAAAAATTAAAATGAAATTTCTTTTATTAAAAAAATGAAAAGATAAGTTGAAATTTAGAAGATTTTAAAAATAAATAAATAAATATAAATAAAATTTTTTAAAAATATTTTTCTCATTAAATTAAATTAAATTTAATTAATCAAAAAAATGTTTAATGCCCGCCAAAATGAAGATCATAATTAAAAAATTTATTCACTTGAACATTTGTTACTTTTATTTAATAAAAAAATAAATTCTTACTAGAAAAATATTTTTAAAAAATTGCATAATTTTTTTAAATTCTTTTTTTCTTCTAAAAATTTTTTTGTCATAATTCATTTGATAAAAAAAATTATAAAATATTATTTAAATAAATCATAACAATAAATTACCTGCATGCGAGCAGCGAGGATTCGCGTAAATGTCAAAATGTCGCACCAGCACCCGGAACATCCCAAGACAGTCCTATCGGAGAGGGTGAACAGCTTTTCTTGGTTCCTGGTGTAAATACTGTACCCGGAGCTGAGACGTGTCTCGCTGGCAATAATAGCATACCCTGGTCCGGCGATGGCTACTACACTCCTATAAGTCGTAACAAAATCAATTAATAAAATTAATAAATGACATTAAAGTTTAGCAGTCACTTGACAATTTTTTAATTTTTTTTAACAAAAAAATTTGTCCCTAAAAATTATTTTAAAAAAAATTGCATTTTTTACTTTTTAAAATTTCTGTCAATTTTTTTTGTCATACTTTTTTTATTATAAAATTATTAAATATATTAAATAAAAATAACAAAGTCATGGTTAGGTTAAAGCAAATACATACCCTCCGTTGTCGGCGTACGGACTAAATTGGACTTTTTTCGCTCCAGCAGCATAGTCTGGCAAGTTTCTTCCCATAGATTCGTTGATCATCGCCATAGCTGTCTTTTTTTATTAAAAATTTATATTAAGAAGCAATTTATTTACTTGATAAATTCTCCAAGACAGAATGACAACACACTTTTGCTAGTAGCTTCTGTTAAACTTTTTCATATATACACATATATATCACAATTATATTCTTTATTTAATCAGCCGGTACAGATTTAGAATATTAATTCGACAGTAGCCGATAGATGGCGACTCATTTAAATTAATTAAACTGCACCTGTCAGATGTCCTTGCAGTAAGATTCATAAAAATAAATTTATTTTAAAATTCATGTGTTAATTGTAATGACAATTTACCTGTTTATTGGATCAGTGCTAATTATTTATTATTTTTTTTAATAAAATAAAAAAATGACAGCAACCAGCAACCAGCATGTTAATAATCATAAAATTGTTTTAAATATTTTAAATTGCGCAGTACGATTTATTTTATAAAATCTGTCAGATGTCCTTGGAGTGAAATTCTACTATCTACTTTGCAATGGAATTTATTGACACAGAAGAGCGTCTACAGTGTAAACTATCCGTGGAATAAGTGACAGCAATTGTTGACGACGCCCAGTTAGTTGGTTGTGAGTAGTTCTCTGGCTTTTTATTTTTCCATGTACGTTTTCGCGAGTACCCACCGTATATATGTAATATTGGTGTGTGACTAGTGGACAACTAGCGTGACACGGTATCATCACCATTAATACTGGAAATATACTAAATATATTATAACAAAAAGCATCTGGATTTTGTTCGCCCAGATATTTATAATATAAATAATATCTAAAAACAGGTAATGTATGTAATTTATACCACATTCCTTAATCATTACTTACAGTGCTTACTGCTCACAAGTATCCGTTTCATTAAGAGCAGACGTGTGTACATTGCTACGGTATTTGTATTGGTATTAGTTTGATATTGGTATTAGGTAAAATGGCTCCTCCAAAAACAATTTTTCCGGTATAAGCGCATATGTGTGAATAATTGTCCTTCAATATCCAGGTATTGTTCTCAAGGTATATTTTAAATCTCAGATTCATCGATTGTCTTTTTTGACGTCTTAATGTCTGCTCAATTTTTTTTTTACGCTTCATTTTTTTAACTGAATTAATTTTTTATTTAACATTCCAGGAAAATTATTTATTATTATTTTAATAAATTTTAATTATTTAAAAAATTATAATAATAAAGTTAGCCGACATATTTTATTTTTTAATTTATTAAATTAGAACTAAAAAAATTTTTTTCAAAAAATTTTTTTGTAATGATTTTTTCAATAAAAAAAATTCTAAAAATTTTTTATTTTTTTTTTATAATTAATTTTAAATTAATTAAAAAAAAAAAAAAATGTCAAACGTCTTTTGTTTTTAATACAATAATTAGACAATAAATATGAATTTATTATTTATTTATTTAATTCCACATTATTGTAATAAAATATTATTGTTTGCGAGTAATTTGTTATGACAATGATAATGATTAATAATTAATAGCTGTTTATCAAATGTGTTCACAGTTGGTGAATATGCAGACGATAAAGTGTGTGGTGGTTGGAGATGGTGCTGTGGGTAAAACTTGCCTGCTGATATCCTACACGACGAACAAATTTCCGTCAGAGTACGTTCCTACGGTTTTCGACAATTATGCGGTCACTGTAATGATTGGTGGAGAGCCATACACATTAGGATTATTTGACACAGCTGGTAATTTTTTTTTTTTTTTTTTTTTTATTACTATTACTATCAATAATGATAATGATAGAGGGAAGTGAAGATGATAATTAATTTTTTTATTTCTTGTCTGATAGGTCAGGAAGATTATGATAGACTGCGACCATTGAGTTATCCACAAACGGATGTGTTTTTAGTTTGCTTCTCAGTTGTATCACCTTCTTCGTTTGAAAATGTCAAAGAAAAGGTAATTTTTTAATTATTTTTTTTATTCAAAATATAATTTTTATTTTTTTGTGATAATTAATCTTAAACTAATTTAAAAATTTGTAATCTTAAATAAACATCAATAAATTAATTAACTAATTTAGTTGAATTAAAAAGATTCTTTTTAAGAATAAAATAAAATTTTAAACTAGCAACTAATTTTATTTCTTAACTATTAGTTATATTAATAATAATATTCTCTTATTATAATAATAATAATAATAATAATAATAATAATAATAATAATAACTAGCAATCTTACAGTCACTATGTGACTGCCGTGACTTGAGAACTATAAAAATTAAAATTTTGCTTTATTGAATAATGACTTTTGTTAAATTACACTGTACTTTCTTAAATATTGACGTTTTTAAAGATAATAAGCTCATCTCGATGTTACACTCATCAAGAGCTGTCATTTGAGTACCCACATGCATTTTTGATATATTTTTCATGTACACATATATATATATATATATATATATGATATATATAAAATATATGAAAAATTGATGTGGGTACTCAAATGAAAGGTCTCAAAGAGTGTAACATCGAGATGAGCTTATATCTTTAAAAATGTCAATAGTTCTCAAGATACAATATTATTTCTTAGTTAATGACATTTTTAAAGATATAAGCTCATTCCGATGTTACACTCATCGAGACCTTTCATTTGAGTACCCAAATGAATTTTTGATATATTTTTCATATATACATATATATAAATATATAAAATATATGAAAAATTGATGTGGGTACTCAAATGAAAGGTCTCGATGAATGTAATGTCAGGATGAGCTTATATCTTTAAAAATTTCAATAGTTTTCAAGATACAAGGTCATTTCTTAATTATGTATCTAAAGATAATAATAATAATAATAATAATAATAATAATAATAAATATTTATTTAATTTATTTATTTACAGTGGGTACCAGAAATTACTCATCACTGTCAAAAGACACCATTTTTATTGGTAGGAACTCAAATAGATTTGCGAGATGATGCTGCGACTATTGAGAAGCTCGCAAAAAATAAACAAAAGCCAATTACCGGTGAACAGGGTGAAAAATTGGCAAAAGAATTAAAAGCTGTTAAATACGTGGAATGTAGTGCATTGACTCAGGTAAAAAATAATCACTGAAGCTTATATAACTTCATTAAGTATATTTTATATTAAATAAAATAAAATTTTTTTAGAAAGGGCTGAAGAATGTGTTTGACGAAGCAATTTTGGCAGCGCTTGAACCGCCTGAGGTTGTGAGAAGAAAAAGGTGCGTTATTTTGTAGGGAGTTTTAGACACCTCATTTTTCTTCAAATTGGCTTGCTGCGCCCGTTTATTGTAAGTCTTGCAATGTTACAACCAACATCATCAAATTTGCTACAAAAACCTAGATATTTTTGATTTTATTACCTAAAATTGACTAAAAAATTATAAACAATTTGAATTTATTTAAATAAAATTATTTTTTTAAATTTACTTATCTATGATTGAATCATGCGAGCATTTGTGAGTTGCGTCATATCTACCTCAAGTTGCATGATTTCGATCAATTTTTTTTAATCATTAAATTCAATTATAAATTTAATTATTCTGACAATGATTGATTTACTTTGGATAAATGTCACACTGAGACAAAACTATTGCAGGAAATAGTGCGATTGTTGAATCGTTAATTTAACTAGAAATTTTTTTCTTCAGGGCGAATCTATTATATTAAAACGAAAAAAAAAATTATCATTATTTGTAAGTTGCTTAGAACGTATAAGCAGGCAAGAATCTTCGGAATCATCATGTCAACACATTTAATAATTATTAATTAATAATAATGGAATTAAAAGTAAATAATAATAACTAAAAGTAAGACCTACTGTGAATGGTTTTAAACCTAGGATGGTAATCATCCTTGGTACATACATTCTTCAAATATTTAATAAATTAATAAGGCATTTTTAATGATAAGTTACTAATGTGAATTTTTTAATAAATCGATAATCGAAAAAATTTTTCTAGTTATTATCCATTGACCTTTTATGGTTAAATTTAGTATTGAAAAAAATATAATAATTGCTAATTGTACATATAAGGCTAACTGATTTCTTCAGTGGAATTTTTATGAAGAAGTAGAAAAATTAGGAAAATTCTTTTAAATTTTTGCAATTAAAATAAAAAAAAAAATTGATTTATTAATAATAATGATAATAATAGTTATTATTATTGTTATTTTGAATAAATTTTTTAAATGATCAAAAATTCCAAATTTTTTACATTTTTTCACAATGAGAAAAAAAATTACTTTTTTTTCCTGACTTAAAACTTAAAAGAAGAAATATTAAAATATATAATAATAATAATAATAATTTGTTAATTTTTTTAATTATTATTGTTATTATTATTACAATTGTTATTTAGAATAAAAGTTTAAAATTATAAAAAAAATTCCAAATTTTTTACATTTCTTCACAATAGAAAGAAAAAATTAATTTTTATTCCCGATTTAAAGCTTAAAAGAAGAAATAAGTAAAATATATATAATAATCATAATAATTCGTTATTTTAGAAAATTATTATTATTATTATTATTATTTTGAATAAAAGTTTAAAATTATAAAAAAAATTCCAAATTTTTTACATTTCTTCACAATAGAAAGAAAAAATTAATTTTTATTCCCGATTTAAAGCTTAAAAGAAGAAATAAGTAAAATATATATAATAATCATAATAATTCGTTATTTTAGAAAATTATTATTATTATTATTATTATTTTGAATAAAAGTTTAAAATTATAAAAAAAATTCCAAATTTTTTACATTTCTTCACAATAGAAAGAAAAAATTAATTTTTATTCCCGATTTAAAGCTTAAAAGAAGAAATAAGTAAAATATATATAATAATCATAATAATTCGTTATTTTAGAAAATTATTATTATTATTATTATTATTTTGAATAAAAGTTTAAAATTATAAAAAAAATTCCAAATTTTTT